TCAGCAAATTCTTTACAGCCTTAATCTTTCCTCCGAACTTCCTCCTCACCATATTGTTCATTTGAGCATGTCTCTTCTCTTGTATCCATCTCTACAGGTGACAGTTTTCTCCCTGCCTCCCTCTTACTACTGGGTCTGTGAGTAGAGTTACAGGTCTCTTTCCTCCTTAGTGCCGCTTCCAAATGATCCTTCTTCCCTCGTATCAAACCTACCAGCTACGACAATCTTGTCACTAGATGATACTACCCATTACTCCTCTTTGTTGCCAGCATGTTCTCTCCCCAGATCGCCCCCATCACTCCTTGACTATTTTACTTCCTAGCTTACTGTCACTTTCTGTTTCTTAGGTTCTGTAACAATGTCCTGAAAGTATTGGACTTTTTTTTTTTTTCTCATGACCTAGACCAGCTTTTTGAACACTGCCCAGAATACTTTTCCCTTTGAAAAGGTGTCTCCGCTCACTTTCTCTGTTGAAACTCTCTTCCTCTAAGTTTGTCTGTAGAAAGAAGAGTAGCCTCTTCAGTTAACTGCCCTTCAAGGACAAGCACAGACACGTTTTGTTTTAACCTTTTTGCATGTGCCTTTCTCCCCTTCAGTCATTATCCGTTGTTACCGTTGGGTGCTGCCCAGTCATTTCCAACTCATAGCAACCCTATGAGACAGAGTAGAATTGGCCAGTAAATATTAGGTTTCCTAGGTTGTAATATTTACAGGAGCAGATCACCAGGTCCTTTTTCCCATGGAGCCACTGGGTGGGTTTGAACTGCCAGCCCTTCAGTCAGTAGCCAAGCGTTTGACCATTGGACCACTAAAGCCCCTTATCAGTTATTACTACAATAATAATACTAAATAATATTAAAAATTAGAAAATGCATTACAGTTAATAATAATAATAGTGATATTGTCTGAAACAGAGGTAGTAACTGTTAACATTAGCAGACCCTTCTAAAGTTTTTATTTACACCAATTATATATCTCTCTTTCTCTGTATCACTCTACTTAACCATAGAAAGATGCAGATATACACACGCTCATAGACATATAATGAATATTTTGTGGCATGCTTTTTTTTCACTTTACAAAAGCAATATAATAAACATTTTGAAGCATTTTCCCACTAATTTTAGAGAAAGGAATAAATTAACAAAAATAATAAAATATGAGGAATAATTCAGATTTCAGAATTCTTAAATTCTGATAATCATAGTCCTTTCTTTTAAAATTTAAATCTCCTACTGGAAGTAAGAAAAGAAAAAAAATGCAGATTTTTTTTTTTTTTTTTAATATTCTGACTAAGATACTTATTTTATTGCTAAGGAATAAGTTTTCTGAGGCCCCAAGGTAAAGGTGAAAGGTGAGCTAACTCTCCAAGCAGAGAGCAGACTCTTCAAGTCAATATAACTTGATGAGACATACAATAGTAATCTGCATTTTTGAGACCCTCTGCCCAGTGCATAAGTAATCCTCTCAGGGCATTTCCTTGACAAAAATTTTCTCTCGGGAAGGTGGTTGGGAAGTCAGAATATTATTACTCAGTTCCTGAATTTTCTCTTTCTCCACCGCCACGATTTTATACAGAAACAGATGTAGAAATGGATCCAGTGTGGATGGTCTCAACTAATTAATCTCATTTCAATCACCCTCTTTTATTTTGCCAACAGTCAAAGCCCCTTCAGAATAATTACTTTTCCATACTCCCATCTTGCCTTTCATCAGAAGATTTCATTATTTTGTTTCAGTATCCATACCATCACTCCTTACCCAGCCTATTTTTGTGATACTTTATTCCTATGTTTTTCAAAACAAGAAAAGGAATGTTTACATTTGCATTATTCATTCTCTTAACTCAGTAGTCTTTTCTGTACAAAATTGAAATCTTAATAGATATTGAACTAGACTTTCATGCTTTTCCTTGAGATAAACACAGTTATTGGTATTTAGATTCTTCCTATTATATGTTGATAAATGATGATATAATTGCTGTAGACTGGGAGTAAAAATCCTCTCCCGTAATTTTGTCTGCTAATTACCAATAAACTGCTTAAGCATTCATGCAAACAAACGGTACAGTTTTCAACTGGTTTCACCTATCAAAAATATTGAGCTTCTAGCTGGTGGTTTAAGGAGTGATCTCTCTCTCTCTCCATCTTGTTCTCTGTCATCCTTTTTCTCTTTCTCTCCATCTCTCTTTCTCTAAAACAAGCATGACTCTATTATTTATCTTCTTTTTTTTGCAAAATAACACATGCTTACTGAAGACAATTTAAAAAATAACCAAGAAGTGTGGGAAAAAAAATCACAGGACAAGTCATCTTCCAGAAAACATCTATTACGTCTGTTTACCAAATGTAGGCATATGCACACGCATACACATGCAGATTTGCATAAATGGGATAGTCCTAGGTAATCTACTTTTCTTTCTTCCAAAGTTTTAAAATATGAAAAATCTTAAATATACAGAGAAGTCCAGAAAAATAATATAATAAACATTTTTGTACTTAAACACATTAACGTTTTGCCACATTTGCTTCAGATCTTTTTTGATGTCCTAGATCTAGCCAATTTCCACCCCATTTCTTCTCCCCTCTCCCTCCCCAAAGGTAATTACCCTTCTTAATTTGGTGAGATACTTTCCAAATATGTTTTGTATTGCTACTGTATTTATATTAGATTTTTATATAAATACCATCAGAGTGAAATTCCATTTGCAGTTTTTTTTCACTCTGCATTAGTTTTTTGAGGTTTAACTTGTTGCTACATGTTGGTTTACTTATTTCCTTTAAACTGCTTTAGAGTATTTCATCGGATGAATAAAATGAAGTTTATTTCAACACAGGGATGAAAATAAAATATGTTAATCTTGTTTTTTTTTTTCAGGAACAATCTATTATAGAAATATTTCCATTTATATACATATGCTTTAATTCTATATGTTTGTATTGAGCTAGTATCATGTGTCAGACTCTATTTTATATCGAAAGTACAGTACTAAACAAAACAAACGTCCTCTACCATCATGAGTTTATGATCTAGTAATACAGAGATGGCATAAATATATACAAACATTAAAAATTCTAATAAGTATAGTGAAAAGTCTTTGAATTTTTACAGGTTATTTAATGGAGGCTCAGAAACATCTTTTCTGAGTAGTAGTCCAGATAGAAGAAATCTCTCATGGATTAAAATTGTGGTTCATCCAATATCAGTTATGTATTGCATATAACAATCTAGTACCACAATAAAGTTATGGCACAAACAACCAGAAAATCCTCATGGTATGCAAAAGTAAACATTTAATTTTGGTCGTAAGTCTTTGGTTCACTGGGTGGATCCTGTGGTCTTTTCTGGGTTTACTCATGAAATGGTGGTCAACTGAGGGTCAGTTAGGTAGCTTTGCTAATTTGGACTGGACTCTCTGATACATCTTGGTCTTAGGTTGGGGCAACAGGACTGGCTTAGATCTTCTGCACATACTTTCTTATCCTCCAGCAGGCCAGTCCAGCTTTTTCCCATGGTAACTGAGTGGAGTTACAAGAGAGAGAGCAGAAGCATACAAGGCTCCTTTGAAGTTTAGTCTCAAACTAACACATTGTCACTTGACACATTGTCATTTCTGCTGTATTTTGTTGTTCACAAGGCCAGAGCAGATTAATGAGTGGTGAAATAGATATCACCTCTGATGGAAGGACATATGGAGAATTGGGGCTAATGTGCTATCAATTTCCCTATCATATGATGGATAGGGTTGAAGAACATCCCACATAGAGGGAACAACATTTTTAAAACCTGAATGGCTGGACAGAATTAAGGCATTCTGGAAACTAGGGGGGGAAAAAAGGGCAATGTGGAGTTTATTGAAGAAATTAAAGAATAGTGTCAGAAGTGACTGGACAGGTTGGCAGGGACTAGAGCATGCTTCAGGACTTTGGAACGTATCTCATGAACAATAAGTACCCATGCAATTTTAAGAAATAGATTATATGATGTAACTTTTAATTAAAGATCTTTGGGTAAAATATATGATAGTGTATTAAAGATTGTAATGTTGAAAGTGGTGAAACAGTTTGTAAGACTATGTAGTCATTCAGATGTTAGATGATGAAAATATGGACAAAAGATCAGGAACAGAGATTGTGAGAAGTGGAGATATTGTGGAAAAATTTTGCAAGTTAAATTCATAGAATTTGCAGCTAGATGAGATGTTGGTTCTGAGAGAAAGGATGATATCAAAAATGGTCAAATGGATAGTAAATGTATCATTTACTTTCCTGAGGAAGACTTGAAGGAGAACTGCTTTGGCAAGAAAATGAAGTTTAGTTCCAGAGATGGCATGTGATTGGATATGAGGACCTGGAGCTCACAGGGAAGGTCTGAGCTATCCATATAAATTTATTTGAGAATGGTCTACGCATAAACATTACTAGAAACCATGGAAGTAGATTAAATCACTAAGAGGGAAATTTTCAATAAAGAAGAAAAAAGGTCCAGAAATAAATCCAAAATAATTCCAATTATAAGTCATAAAGGAAATATCCAGATATATTCATGTTTCAGTGGCTACATAGCATCTGATTATATGACTTTACCATAATTATTTTAAATAATTGGCTATTAGTGAACTTTTTTAGACTTTGTGAGACAATGACACAATAACTATCCTTTACATATTCCTTTATACATTTGACCAATTTTATCTTTAGAGTATATAACAAGACAGTGAATTGCAAGGAAAACAGATTATATATTTTAAATGTGAATGCATCTTGATTAACAATCCTTAAAAAGCAGTTGTATCAAATTACACTTGCAACAGCACTGCTCGAGTTTGCTATTACTTCAGTCTTTTTTAATATGATATATTGTTTAATTTTTACTCTTAGCAGCCTGATGAGTGACAAATTATTTTTGGTTGTAATTTGAATTTTTTGGATTATTAATAAAATCAAACTGTTTTTATACGCTTATTAGAAATCTAGAATTCTTTTGCAATTTTCGTAAGCATGGCCTTTGCCCAGTTTTCTGTTGGAGTGTTCAGATTTTTATCATTAATGTTCCAGAAATTATGTAAGTATATTAGTATGTTTTTATTTTAAATGACATGATTTTTTTCATTTTCATTTTGTTTGTATTTTTTATCATACAACAATATTATCATGCCAGAGAGTTTCATAATACAATTTATCTCTTACATCCTTTATAATTTTGTTTTGTTTCACGTGTAGAAACATTTTCTCAAGCCCAGGATTATAAACCTTTTCTTGTTTAAACCTGTTGCCCAGGAGGCGATTCCGACTCCTAGCGACTTCATAGAACAGAGTAGAGCTGCTCTATGGGGTTTCCAGGGAGCAGCTGGTGGAGTCAAACTACCCACATTTTGGTTAGCGGCTGAGCTCTTAACCCCTGCGCCACCAGGGTTCCATTTTTTTTGTTTGTTTGTTTAGTACTCTTGTAATTTTACTTATTACATTTAAGCCTTTGCTTCCCCTAGAATTTATATAATGAGCCTGAAGTTTCCTCCCTACACCGATCCAATGAAGTTTTTCCGACTCCACTTACTAAGTAGTTCAGTACTGACAATGCTGTGAAAAATTAGGGTTAGGGTTAGGGCTAGAGCTAGGGTTAGTGTTAGGGTTAAGATTAGCTCTATGGCTGGGGTCAGAATGAGTCGAGGTGTAAGTTCTTTATCCAGATACCATTTTACACTTAAACTCGTGTATTTGTTTACAGCTTAAGCAGCACAACGTAGTGGTTAAGAGAGTAAAGCCTCCGATTATCCCAAATAATTCTTCCGCCTCTACCTCTACTGGCCGGGATGTCATGTGGGCTGGTGAGATTGAATTCATTCTATAAGGCCCAAAGTTGTATGCCAGCGTGATGTTTCTCTGCTAGGGAAAACTCACTTACCAACTAAAAACAAACTTGTAAAATGGCAGCACTGCCTCAATCTTAGTTCCTGGTGCTTTATTCTTCCTGTGAATAGTTCAGGTACAAAGATTTCAGAGGCAACCATTAGGGCCAAATGCAACATCAAAACTTGAGAAAGTGAGTGAAGAGTTGCCAACGACTCCATTCCATCAATTTCATGTTAACCTGATGTATTTGGCTATATGTCTGTTTCCCTCTGCGCTTCCTCTATCAGCTTTATCACAAATCAGTCCTCTGCAAGTTGCATTGGAAAAGCAATATGTGTGATTGAGGTATGGTTAACAACAAAGCACGTTCTGGCCCCAAAGCTGTTAGATTATGATTGATAAAATTTAATATTTTGAAGGGAGAAAAAAAAAAAGACTATTATTCCAACTTCTTTATTTGCACTGTGGGTGAAGTTACTTTTATCTCCTCTACTTCCATTGTAGCAGTATGCCTGAGATTCCAATAAATATATTGAATGCAATATCCAGATGTCAGGATGATATTTTGGTGCTGCTGCTGTTATGTCTTAGTGGACAAGAGAAAAGATAGTTGAGGTTTTGCAAAAAAGTGTCAAAGCTTAGCAATAAAATAAGATTTCATTGAACAGAAACTAATGAAATCACCCAATTTATTTCCCTTTCACTGTTGTGATGCAAGTAAATGTTGCTTCAGAGGCATCACAAAACTTGAATGTGCAGTGGCGTGGTTTCAGTGGTGCATGGTTTATGTGTGAAGGATTGGAAGAGAACTCATAAATACCTTTAATAAAAAAAGTGTGCAGAGAAGCAGCTCTGCTTTTCAAATAAAAGAAGTTTCATTTGTGTCTGGGGACCATGGCTGTTTACAAGTCAACTTTCTGAATGTTTTTTTCCTTCATGCCACCCTTTTAATATCTGAACTCCCTGAGAAACTAACATCCTCAGTTCAGTAAGATGCTCTGAGGTGCAGGTTTTATCTGCTCCATGGTGCAGCTACCTTTGTCAGAGGGGATCTCCAATTTCTTTTTTCAGTTCCTCTTCTTGGCTATGTAACATATCAATCAGGTAGATCTGCTTGAGATGTTCAATAGTCTGAAGGGGCATTGGTGATGGGGTAGACCGGGGGTAGGCAAACTTTTTTTTTTATATAGTGCCAGATAGTATATGTTCTTGTCTTTACAGACTATGGTCTCTGTCATAACTACACAACTCTGCTTTTATAAAGTGAAAACAGCCATAGACAATACATAAACAAATGGGAATGGGTGTGTTCCAAGGAAACTTTATTTACAAAAACAGACAGGGGACTGGATTTGGCTATGTTATCGCAATTTGCCAGGCCCTGGAGTAGACTCAGAATACGTTTTAGATGTGTTCTGCCAGTGGTGATAAATACTTGCTAAATATTCTGCTTAGATAATCTCATTTCTCATATTATTCAGCAAAACTAAAATGTTGGAACAATGGTAAACCCATTTTGCAGATTGATAAACTGAAGCACAGAGAGAATAGCAATTTGCTCATATACAGTAGAAAGGGTTTGAAGTCAGGCTCACTCTGGGATGTATGCTTTTAACCGCTATGCTATAAAGCTTTTCTGATTAACTGATACACAGAAAATGCCATGAAATGCATTCCACAAAATGGAAATACATTTTTTCTGCCCTTTGGTGAGATGTTTCCATGTGTGAATCAGTCTTTATTTTTCAGAGAAAATTAAGCATGACTTTACTGGTAAGGGAAAAGCAAGGAGGACTAAATACAAGATATGTGAAGTCAGCATGATGTAATGGGAAGAGACAAGAATCTGAAGTTAAATGAGCTGAGTCTTTAAATTCTGGCTTTAACACTTATAAGATGCGTGACTTCGGGCAAGTTACATTCTGAGCCCTAATTGTCTCGTTTATAAGTTGGTGAAATACAATATCTACATTAAAAATTATTTTGAGGATCTATGGAATAACTCAATGTGTAAGTGCTTGGTCACCACTAGAGGGTTATACTGATATATCAATATATAATTATATATATATACATATAACCCACTGCCCTTGAGTCAATTCAGACTCATGGCGACCCCAGGTGTTACAGAGTAGAACTGACATCCGTAGGTTTTCTTGACTGTAATCTTTCTGAGAGCAGATTGCCAGGCCTTTCTTCTGCAGTGACACTGGAGGGGTTCAAACCTCCAACCTTTCAGTTAATAGTCAAGCACAAATCGTTTGCCTCACTCGAGGACACACACGCGTATAAAACCCATTACCGTTGAGTTGATTTTGACTCATAGCGACCTTATAGGACAGAGTAGAACTACTCCATAGGGTTTCCAAGGAGTGGCTGGTGGATTCTAACTGCTGACCTTTTGGTTAGCAGCCGAGCTCTTAACCACTGTGCTACCAGGGCTCCATATAAACAAACAAAAAAAACCATTGGCATCAAGTCAATTCCAACTCATAGTGACCCTATAGGACAGAGTAGAACTGCTCCATAGGGTTTCCAAGGCTGTAAATCTTTATGGAAACAGACTGCCACATCTTTCTCCCTTGAAGCATCTGGTGGGTTCAAATTGTCAACCTTTCGGTTAGCAGCAGAGTGTTTTAACCACTGCGCCACCAGTTCTTCCTACTCACACGTGCGCATATATATATATGTGCATTCAATATACATATGCATTCAATGCACATATGCATTCAACATATAATATTTACAGAAACACATGTATATGTATGCATAGTGAAAGATAGTACATGTTAAAAAGGCACCCTTTCTTTAGTAAAAAAAGTCTAAACTGAAAATGATTTTGATTTGTAACAAAATTTTAGAATTTTCCAGAGATCCTGAGGCAGAAAGAGTTCTTGAGGGTCATCTAGGCCATTCCTCTGTCTTCAGACAGAGATATCCTCAAGCCAATGCAGATGGAAGTCTGTCTATTCTTTTAAAGAAACGATTTAGTGAAAGTATCTACGAACCGTTCGCTGATAGAAAGAGAACCTCTTGAATACAGATTGGCTCCCTGATTGCAAGTGACTTTGTAATGACAAGCAAGGGAATTTTTTTAAAAACACAAAGTATCAAAAACATTTTTTTGTTTGTTTCGGTGAGTCAATTACCTTGCATGCCTGTGGCTTCCAGATGGGTTCAGACTCAAAGCACCCGGAGGCCCCATCAGTACTTACTATGCAACATAGCACCTCTTAGGATCCAGAGGTGAGTTTTAATACTTCATACCGTTAACTGTGCAGTCCCAAAGATGGATCCAGGGCAGATGTCTGATGCTGCAGCATGTTTGTGTTGCTGAATACCATAGTGAGTTTCTCTGCTTCTCTTCTACATTTTAATAGTGGTTAAAAAAAAATCCTTATTTTTGGCGGTTTAAGTAATAATGCACTGAAAACAAACATTGATGTTTCCATACCACATCACAGTCTCTGCTTTATGAAGAAATAATTGAGAAAACTGAATATTAAAAATTAATGCGAAGCTTTAGAAAACTTCATATGTGTCATTTAAAACAATAAAAACGTTAAAAACCTTGATTTCCCACAGGAGACAAATCAATATTGTCTGTTTCTTTCATTGCCACATTGTCAGCTCCTAGATCTGTTCTTGGAAATAGTAGTAGCTCAATAAATTTGGCAAAAAATATTGAATATACTATGGACTGCCTAAAGAAGAAATAAATCTGTCTTGGAAGAAGTACAGCCAGAATGCTCCTTAGGAGCAAGGATGGCAAGATACATCTCACATACTTTGGACATGTTGTCAGGAGGGATCAGTCACTGGAGAAGGACATCATGCTTGGTAAAGTACAGGGTCAGCGAAAAAGAGGAAGACCCTCAACAAAATGGATTGACACAGTGGCTGCAACAACAGGCTCAAGCATAACGGTCGTGAGCATGGCGCAGGACAGGGCAGTGTTTCGTTCTGTGGTACGTGGGGTTGCTGAGTCGGAACTGACTTGACAGCACCTAACAACAACAACAACAACAACGATAAATTTGGCAGAATGAGACTTGTCTTCAATGTCTGTAGCACACTTGCTCTCTTTGTTGGAGATTCTTCAAAAGTAGATCTCAAGACAAGTAGTCTATTTGGGAGTATATCTCAGGGAGTATAATGGAAGTGTATAGGATGAAGGGAAGTGTATTAGAAGGGGAGAAAAATCATGAAGGATAAGTTAATAAGTGGGTTATCACCATGGGCAACAGTGGTTTGGTACAGCTGAGTGCCACCTAGAGACTATGTAGAGAACATCTCACAATTATCGCCTCTCACCTTCCAGGAGGCAGACACCAGTTCAACTCCCAGACAATGCAGCTCACGCTCAGCCACCACCCGTCTGTCAATGAAGTCTTGCCTGTTGCTATGATGCTAAACAGATTCAGCAGAGCTTCCAAACTAAGATGGACTAGGACCAAACAACCTGATACCATTGTGCATGAGGACATCATGAGTCAGGGGTGGACTAGGGGCAGCTAACAACAGCAAGGCAAGGAAGTTGGGATATTTAGTCACCAACTGTCTTCCTTCATTGGCTTAGGGTCACTCCTGGGGAGGTTAAATCCCCAGCAGTCTGGCCTGCTGTCTAGGAGGCTAATATATTCCAATGGAGCAAGACAGTTCTCAAGCCAATGTTTGTTACATATATATTTAACCACAATTAAATTAAAAAAAAAAAAATTGGGGGACAGAGAGCCCTAGACACTGAAGCCCCCAACTGCAACTATTCCTTGAAGTCTCAGGTGACTTTCTAGGTGGGCCAAGGGGATGTGAGGCACCTACAGTGGCTGCTATAATCATAACTTAAAAGAACCACAACACTTTTGGTTTCCTAAGTGACAGACATCACGTGAGACAAGATTTTTTTTAGTTGGCTTGATATTTATATTAATTACCATTTCAATTTAGAAGGTCACAGATAACTTCTTATTTAGTT